CTATGCTTGCATGCGGTGCAACGCGGCCAGTCTCACACCAGCTCGATGGGCCGCTCCGGCATCCAGGCCCACGTCCACGCGGTGCTTCTGGATGTGGTAGCACTGGCACATGAGGCCGACCGAGTAGATGCAGTCCTTGATCGGTCTCCTTGCGTGGTACTGTTCGTCGCCCAACCCGAGGAACTCGATGCCGTGGCCCAGGGAGTCGGCGTCAGCGTCGCCCGCGGTCAACGCCCTGAGGATGGGGCAGACGACGTAGTGCTCGAGCGCGTCCACCTCGTCGCAGCCGAACAGGCATGGTCGCGCATCGATGACGGCGCTCATGCGGCGAGAGGTCGTCCAGCCGTTGACCGCGGTGCGGATCCACGACCACATCCATGCAGGGCGGACCTCCGTCAGCTTGTCACGCAGCGGAGGCCACCTCTCGCGAAGCTCGGGCAGCGAGCACACGACTCCCCACCTGCGTAGCCGACGGTGGATGGTGGCCACCAGGTCCTCGGGGTACAGCGAGCCTCGGAGCGAGATGGCGGCCGTGGCCTGGCGCTTGGGCTTCCTGGTGGGAGAGGCCGCTGCCGCCGCCTTCGTCTCCAGGGTCATCGCCGTCTTCGCGATCTTGATGTACCTGCTCGGAATCGGGACCGAGAGCACATCGAGCGTCGGTCTGGGGATGTCCAGCTGGCCGTAGGTGTCCGTGATCATGGCGAAGTTCTGTACGATCGCCCTCCGCGTCTGCCACCACGGTGGCGACCAGTTGCCCTTGATCACGTCGATCAGTGGGGCATGCTCCACGGCAGCTTCATGAAAGTGGTGAAGGTGAGCTTCCCATCCACGAACCGTGTTCTCCGCCGTGCGCATCATCGCCGCGAGCGTGCACGGGAAGAGGCCCGTCGGCGACGGGGAGCCGCACCACGCGCTCATCGACAGGATGTCGGCTTTGCGCATGGACGAGGGCGGCAGCCGCAGCAGGCGGTGCAGGGAGGTGAACTCGACCTTCCAGATGGCAGGCACAATGAAGTAGAACTGCGCGAGGTACGACAGGCACGGTAGCGCGTTGATGTTGCACGCACGTGCCGCAAGGCTGGTGGCCATGCCAGTGCGCGCCAGCTCCCAGCATCGGGTCCACCATTTCCCCGCAGCTGCCTTCCAGATGCCGAAGTCCGTGACGCCTGGCCCCAGGTGAGTCCCCAGGTACTTGGCCGTGGAGTCGACGCGGAAGCCCGACCAGCGGGGGACCTCCTTAGCGAGGAAAGACTTGACGTCCTGCAGCGTGCCCTCCGAGAGCTCCTCCCACAGCGGCACCAGCGCGCACTTGTGCAGCGCCAGCTGCAGGTTGAAGGCAAACTCAATGGAGACGAAGGTGGAGTCGATGCTGGGGAGGGCGACCGCGTTCTTGATCAGCATCCCGAGGTCGTCGGCGCAAGCCGTGAGGAACCCATGCTCAGCAATCGCAACCAGCAGCGCGCGGATGGGCGTGTCCATGGCCAAGCACCAGACCGTGCCAGAGAGCGGGCATCCTTGCATGATGCCGCACAGGAGCGCGAACAGCGGCTCGAGCTCCGCGCTGGTGCCCTCGGCGCGGAAGGAGCTGAAGGCGAGGCAGTTGCTGTAGAGCGCCGCGACCACGTTGCAGAAGCCCAGCGGGACCCCGTAGCGCGGGAGGACCTTCTCGATGACTTCCCTGAAGAGTGAGGGGAAGGCCTGACGGAAGTCGAACGACAGGAACATGGGGCGGCGGGTCGCCGCGTCCGGAAGAAGGCCCTCCCGACGGCATTCCGCGTCCAGGTACGGGATGTGGTCGACGAAGCGCCGCCCAGCAGTGAAGCCCTTCTGCTCGGGTGAGGTAGATGATGTGGCGATGGGCTGGAACCCGCGATCTGCGCAGGCCGCAATCAGCTTGGCGTCGCAGTTCTTCAGGGAGAGGGTGCGCACCGTGGAGGCCGTGCGCGTGCAGGAGTCGGGGACGTCGTCCTCCTCCGTGCCCTTTGGCACGCAGATGAAGATCGACCAGTTGAGGTCGAGCGGGGCCGCGCCGTCGTTGAAGAGGGCTTCCATGAGACCCTGGAGATGCTGCAAGGCTCCAGGGCTGCGGCGCCACGCTGCGTACGACAACTGATCTGGTCCCGCAGCGCTCGGGGGGGCCCTTCTGGCCGCACGTTCTAAGTCATGTAGAGCTGGTTGAGGGAGTTCAACCTCGGGCTTCCTTGGCGCGTGCTTGTCCAGGAAAGCGCCCAAGGCCTTGAGCTGTTCAGAGTTCGGCACCTTCGCGAAGATCTCACCCCAGTAGTTCGCTACGGTCGCCTTCATGCCCGCGGGATCGGAGACCACGTGCTGAGCCACCTTCGAGTCCTTGGCGGCACGCGGTGCGGAGTCCACGCGCAGGCCCGAAAGGATCATGCGTCGCCGCCACGGGACCCAGAGCTGCGCATGCCTGGCGGCCTTGCGCTCAACCCTCCGCCAGGCTGCGCTGTCGCGCACGTTGGCCGTTCGAGCTGCTGCCTCCGCCGCCTGCCTGCGCAGGGAGTGCACCCGCTCGGCGATGGCATCGAAGTTGGCGGCGAAGCTGTGGGGGTCCACGAGGCGCACCGTGCCGTCGGTCACGTGGAGGTGGGCGGCCAGCACAGGGCAGGACTCGAGCAGCCTGCCTGCCAGGACAGCGTCCTGTCGCCAGACCGCTCTCGCCGCCGACTTGAAGCCCATGTACGAGGTCTCGACCGTGGAGTCCTTGACGTGTAGAGAGAAGTTGGTCCGCAGCTGGTGATCACGAACACGTCGCGCTGCAAGTTTCATGCGCTGCTTCGCTGCTCTCCAGCGGCCTTCCGCCGTTTCCCCAGCCAAGGAGCAGTGGTCCAGCATGAGCGTGTAGGTCTCAGGGTACTTCCTGTGGTTGAAGAGGTGCGTCGGGATAGGCTGCTCGTCTCGTGGGACATGGCGTGCGGCGGTGATCTGCAGGACGAGGGGCGCGTGGTCGCTGATGCCCTCCTCGGAAAGCTCCATCGCGTCCCTCGCAGTGGTGAGGATCGTCGAGACCGAGAGCATGGCGTGCGCGTCGATGCCCAAGAAAATGCGGTCGATCGTGGACAGCTGCTTGCTGGACTTGTCGTAGTGAGTCGGCCACTGAGACTCCACCTCCAGAGCTGCAGCGAATAGACGGCGCCACGCAGGTTGCCGACGTTGGTAACGGTGATCAGGTCGGAGGCGCCAAGCTGTGGTGTCTGTGGGTGCTCGTTGACTGACTGGCGGGCGGGCAGCTATGTTGAAGTCACCGACGCCCAGGAAGATGCGGTGTAACGAGTCACAGCGCGCCCGCGCCAGGCCACTGGACCAGGTGCGCTGGACTGCGGTGAACTCGTGTGGCTTGAGGTCGTAGTTGTGGATGTTGAAAATCTGCATGCTGCACTTGCCCGTGCTGTCGGTGATCGCGAGGAGCGCCGCGCGGCCGTCCGCCACTATGTCGAAGCGGTAGGCCTGTAGTGCAGAAGTGGAGCTACGTGTACTTGACCAGGTGTTGTTCGGTTGTGACGTGGATGTCGTGGGAGAACGTCGTGTACTTGACCAGGTGTCGGAGCAGCTTGCTGTCGAAGGTGAGGAGGAGGTTCGCGTACTTGTCCAGGTGTCTTGAGTCGGCATAGAAGAAGTTGGAGGCGAGGAACGCACAGGAGGTCTTCCACTTCTCGCTTCGCTCCCGTCTCCCAGAGATTCGGCTCTGGGTCCATCCACCCTTGGAACTTCGTCGGCGTGTCGAGGGACGAGAAAGGCGACTCCGCCCACGGCGGCGGAAGAGCCAGGCGAGAGGAAGCTCAAGTACTTCTGCGGTTGCGACTGGAGAAAAATCCTGAGGGCGTCCTCAGATCCGTGGACCTCCTGTACGGCGATGATGGCGTTGACCTTCATGTAGGTGGCGAGCAGTGCCAACTTGCGTCTGCGCAGCCTCGCGTCCGAGTGGAGGAGGCCACGGGCGTTCCACACGACCAGGTGAAGTCCCCGAAAGCCATGCCGTGCGCCAGGGGGACGCCACGGCGCCCACAGTGGGCTGCTAAATCCACTCGGTGTTGTCCTCCGTGGAGAAGGCCTTCTTGAACTGCGTGTTGATGGACTCCCTGTCGATGTGCAGCCTGGCGACCATGTCTGGGTTCCACCTGATGATGGTGTCGGTGTTGCGGGATTCACCCATCTCGAGCTCGGCGACCTTGACGCCCTGGGAGGTGATGATACCACGGGCCCGCTGAGCACTGAAAGACTGATCAGGAAGAGCTTCTGCCAGCAAGACCGAGAGCTTCCTCGATTGGATCTCCATTCGTACTTGCTGCGGTGACTTGTCAGGCGAGAGGTACAGTGGGACGACGCCTCCGCCGACGCTCTGCGCGCTGAAGGAGCGCCACCCGTTCCTGCCAGCTGGGCCACGTAGATGCCGAGCGAGTGCCTGAGACCGAGGGAGAGCGACCCCGTCGCCGCCCTGCACCATGACGTTGAAGCGCTTGGCAGGGACCACAGGGTCGATGCGGACCATGTCGTGAGTGAGGCCAGCCGCTCGAATCCACTCCTCCAATCCTTGAAGAGCTTGGGCGGGTCCAACCAACTGCGGCGCTCCGATCGAGAAGATCCGCGGGTTGGGTTGACGAGACCACGCCTCCAGCTCCTGGAAGTCCATGATGGGTAGCTCCTTCTCGGCGAGGGCCAGGGCCTTGTTGATGTCCCCGATCTGCTTGCGCATGGCGGCCTGCTCCGCCTCCAACGCGTCGGCGCGCTGGCCGATGGAGGCGATGTCGCGAGTCTGCACGGCGAGGGACCTGTTGACTGCCTCCTGCTGCGTCTGGAACATGCGCACCAGCTGCGTCTGGCAGGAGGTGACCTGGGCCATGGAGGTCGCGGCGATAGCATCGGTGGCCTGGCGAATGCAGCTCTGCAGCATGGCCTGCATGTCAATGCCGCCAGCGTCCACAGGGGTGGCCATCCCACCGACAGGAGTGCCAGCAGCAGGTAGTTCAGTGTGTCCAACAGCGGGGGCGGCGCGATCATGCCACGGGTCCCCGCCAGGGCGTTGCCACGGGTCAGTAGGAGCATGTTGAGGTCCAGCTTGTTGGGGTCCAGCAGGCACTTGTTCCACTTGCATGTCCTGGCGCTCCTGCGTGGGGAAGGTGGCCGCCGCCTCAATGGCGGCCACGAGCTCGTCCTGGGCGGCGCGATCGAGACCTCCGAGTCCAGGGCGCTCACGATCACTGGCCTGCGATCCCGAGGCATCCGCCTCGTCGTCAGAGCGCGGGTGGCCCCGCCGCGCCCGTCGGCGCGCAGGGGCACGCTCGTTCGTGCTGCGGGAGGCCGAGCGCAGGTCCTCAGCTGGTGGCTGCTCCTTGCCCTTGTCGCCGCGCCTCCGACCGTCTGCAGCACCAGGGCCACGATGGCCGCCGCCAGCACGACCAGTCCTGCGCCGCTCCTCATCGGCCGCCATGCACTGCTGGAGAGAGCCCTCGCGGGCGCAAAACTGTGGGTCCTCGCGGACCGGGTTGTGGCGGCAGCTCGCCCTGGTTGCGGCTGCAAAGAAGTCCCCACTCCTGGCCGCGGCACAGCGGTATCCATTTGGACGCCGCCGCGCACCAGGACATCTTGAGCCAAAATGGCTACGGTGGAGGAGGAGGAGGAGGAGGAGGAGGAGGAGGAGGAGGAGGAGGAGGAGGAGGAGGAGGAGTGGGAGGAGAAGGAGGAGGTGGAGGAGGAGGAACGTCGCGAGAGGGGGCCTGGGGCCAACGAGCACCAGCCCGTGGCCAGAGCTCGGCGAGGGGTTCGCGGCGCGGTTCTCAGTCCCGGCGGCGACGACTGAGTATGGCGTATCGAAGCGTTTCGGAGAGGTCACCACTTTCCTGGCGCACCTCCAAAGTGCTAGATTCCCCTGCCCCCCGCCCTATGCCCGACGATCGAACTTAATGTGTTTTACCTTGACCCCAAGATTAAATTCACATGTCGAGTACAACGACGTCCCATACATGATGTAGGAATGTTGATATATTAGCACGTGCCCGCTGTGAAGTCTGAGCAAATATGATATCATCTCTCCTTCATAATGCATCCCTCGTCCATCGTCGTTCCTTATTCCATCCCCGCCCTCTTCCGTATTAAATCCTCTCTGCGGTTCCTCGTCCATTAGTTATTCCTTATCCTATTCCCATTTCTCCTCCTCATCCCTCCTCCTCGTATTCCTCATCGGGACTCTCTCCCGAATGCTTTGTCTGCCGCCTACGCCCTGACGCGAGAACGGCAAGTTGTTTTCCTCTCGCACCGCCTCGGGACTCTCGCAGCCCACCGAGGCCCTGTCTGGACTTGCGCCAGCAGCAACATAATGAGCAAACGAATTGATCAATATGAAAACAATAGTAGTAACACAAGAGTGGCAAGGAAGAGGATTAGTAGAAGCAGCGGGGGGGGCAACAGCAGGAGGAGACAAGGAAGAGGAGAGAGGTGGAGGCGTAGGGAAGGAGCGGCAAGTAGCGCACTGGGCAATGCATCGCACTCACCCGTCGACGCTATACCCCTACGACATGATGAACGACACCGCCTTGCTAACCACCACCTTCGTCTTCGTCGAGCGCTCGAGCTTCAAACCGTCGAAAGGGATGTGCTCGCGGAACATCTTGACGCCGCCCGTGTCTGTAGGGTCCGAGTCGGTGCGAACGATCGGCGTCAGCTTCGGCACTTTGTAGATGAACTCCTTCTGCATCGCCAGCTTGCAGCTCTCCTCCGAGATGGCTGCAACCGTGAGCGGGATCTTCACGTCCTCGTAGGCCAGGCGGTGGCTCGGCACGTGCACGAACTCCTTCTTGGGCTCCTTCTTGGCCCTCTTCTTCGGGTTGGGGTTGGCCGCGACGCCGCTCTCGTTGTTGCCAGCTTCAGTGGCGACGAGCTCGGTCGCGGCGGTCTTCTGCTCCTCCTTCGGGGCGTCCTTCTCCTTGGGTAGTGGAACCTTGTGGCCATTTCACACCAGCTGCAGACACCGAGCCAGAGAGCTCCAGCCTTCTTTTCGTCCGCCTACTCGCCCCTCCTCCCCCTCATCGCCGTCTTCTTCCATCACCTCTATTTCTGTTATCATGGTCCTCCGCCTCCTTCCACCTCGTCCCGCCTCCTCCACTCCCTCCCTCTACTCTTCCTGTCATATCCTCCTCACCGTTTCTCTTACTTGTCCGTCCTTCCTGTCCGTCCCCCCCCCCCCAGTCAGGTGGATCTCTCTGGCTCCGTGGCTACAGCTGTTGTGGAATAGACCCAGCCTGCCTTGCGCACGAGCCAAGCTGCGCAGAAGTCGGACTTCTCAACGTTCTCGTATGGCGTCCCGTCCAAGTAGAGCCTCGGCGCACCCACCGTGTCGGACTCCAGCGGCAGGAGCAAGTCGCGCTTCACGCAGAAAGCGCTCTCGTACGTGACGACCTTGCCCCAGTAGTGCATCTCCATGTTGCCCTTCGGGCTCAGGCGTTTGAGGTACAGCGTCCCCTTCTTCTTCTCCTTTGTCTGGCTCAAGGCTGCCTTGGCGTCCCTCAGCTCCTGGGTATCCTTCTCCAGGCTCCTCGCAGTCGCCTCGGCCTCCTTGTCATCCGCCACGTCGCAGATCGCCAGGTGCGCGTAGCTATCATGAGCGTCCTTGTCGAGGTACTCGCGCTTCGCCCTCAAGAGCACAGCTTTCTGCAAAGCTGCCACAAGGTTCCTCTTGTCGAGCTCGCTGAGGCCGTCGCCATCTGGATCCATCAGCTCGCCCTCGCGCACTTTGTCCAACTTGCTCGACACGGTGGTGTACTCCCGCTCCGACGGCACACTCTGCAACTGAGCTACCTGCACTTGCTGGGGTGCGCTCTGTGGTTGCTGTTGTTCTCCTTGCGCTTGGATTGCGACCTTCTTGATCCCCGACCCCGATCTTTCTACAAGTTGGTCCAGTGCGTAGAAGCCTCCACTCGCGTCAATCAGTTTCTCCGATCGCGCCGCCTTCCAGTTGATCTCATCCATAGCCGCAGCGGCATCCTTGCAGGCGGTCTGCCTCTTCTCTGGGAAGACGAGGATGTCCTGAGTCAGACTCGGCAAAGCACGATTCTCCAACACCTTCGCGACGACCACCTTGGCTTCCTTGAACGACTTCGCGCTGCTGATGGCCTTAGGTTAGCACGCCTATGCACCATGCCTGCACTCTCCCCCTCCTTCGGCCACCAGACCAAAATATAACATATAATAAGCCCGGAGAGAAAACAAAACGTGCCCCAAGGCCAGAGAGATTTTTGTCTAACAGGGCCGGAGTGATTTGGGGGGCTTGAGGGTTGGACGTTCGTTTTGGGAGTATGGGTGCAGGTGCAGTGCTTAAGCGTGCTAGCCAAACCTTCACCATGTTGTCCTTGGCCATCTTGTGGGCCGCCCCGTTGTGCTCCAGGCAGTGGTTGTGGCAAGCCATGGCATCACGTGCCCAAGCAGTCAGCACATCCCTGAACGAGACTGGCGTGGTATCGGCTGGCACTGTGCTCTCACGCTTCTCCTTGATCGCGTCCCTCAGCCTGGTGAACTCCTGCGGGATGTTATCCATGTCGTCTTTGTACTTGCTTATCTCGTACTTGTCGAGGAACTGCTTGCAGAAGCCTTGCACGAGTGGCGGCAGATGCGGCTGCATGGTGATGATGGGCCCCTCCTGCACGGCGCACATCTGATGCCCTAAACTCACTAGCCCATACATGGATAGGGCAACCCGCTGAATCCACACGACATCTACGTCCAAGCCAAGCTCGATGATGTACTTGATCGGGTCACTCTTGATGAGCGTGCTGTGGTGCCCGTCTTGTCTGAAATACCCGATCTTGGTCAGCATCGCGTCGAGCTCGTTCGGGAAGACGTTCTCAACGTGAGAAATCACCTCATGCATCAAAACGTCCATCGCAGCTTCTTTGCACGACAGCGTACCCCCCATCGCTTGCACCTTCTGCATGGTTGCGAGCAGCACGTTGTTGAGAGTCTGGGGGGACGCCCCAATCGCTGAGTTGGCAACGTTGATCGGAGCCCTCTTGATCAGACCAACCAGGTGCTCTGCCAAGGGCTCGCAGTCGCTCGCGTAGGCCACCACGTCGGCTTCGGTGTACACTGGCTCGTCGTAGATAGCTCCACTCGCCCCATTCGCGTCATCGTCGTGCTCCGTCACGGGGTCGCTCAAGGTCGCTTGCAGACACCGTCTCTTCCCGAGGCTCTGCAGAAGAGCCTTCTTGGCGAAGAACTTGAACTGGCTGAACCCGTTGACCTGAACATGCTTGTCTTGGACCTTTAGCTCGGGCAAGGTGTTCTTCATCGCGCCGTAGATCGCCAAGTACGTGACCTGGTCGATGTAGTCCTCGTCGACTGTAGCGCCCTGCGCTTCGAAGTCGCAGAACATCGAACGAAGCTTGCATCGCATCTTCGTGATGTGCTCGAAGACCTTCAGCCCCTTTTCCTGAGGATCAGCCGCTGCCTCCACCAAGGCATCGACGCTCCTCTTGGCATCAGGCGAACCGTCTGTCAGAGGCACTGCGGCTGATGGCTTCGCCTTAGGCTTCGCCTGCGCCTTTGTCTTCCCAATGCGCTTCCTGATGCCACCTTTGGCTGTGAGGGCCCGCGCAGCTGCCCTCAAGGCCTGGCTATTTGCCTTCCGATCGGCCTTCGCTTTCTCCTTCTTCTGCTTAGCTATCTCCTTGGCGACCTTCTTCTCCTCCAAGATGCGCTGCTTCAGCGCATTCGTGTCGCTGCTTGGGTTCAGTAGTAGCTTCTCGGTGACGCTGTTGATCATGGGCTTGAGCAGCGTCTGAATCTCGGCTTCGGCGAACGACTCGACGGCTGGGTTCTGCAAGCCCGCGGGGCAGAGCGAGCCCTTTCCACATTGACCCCGAGCACGTGGGAACAGCATGGCGACGACGTACTTGATGTATTGTGGTGCCTCTCGCTTCAAGACCCTAGACATAATATGCTTCGATGTTGTCCCCCCCCCCCAATCCTAATCCCTCCGGACGTATTAATCCCTCCGGAGGAGTTAGACGTCCTCTTCCTCCTCTCCCTCCTTCTCGTCCTCCGTCTCAGTCTCATCCTTGTCCACAGAATAATATCATCATTCCTCTTCCTTCCTCCCGTAGGGGGGTGGGGTTACACATTGAAACATATTCTGCAGAACCTGAAAATCAGATTCACTTGATCGTACAAGTGCGGATGCCGAGGGCTCGATGCTGCACCGTGAGAAAGGTCGGATTCAGACGTGAGGTAACCAGCAACGTCGTCCCACACGGAGATGTGCTTGTGAGCCACTTCAGCGTTGTCCACGGAAGTTGTCAACTCAGTTTGACGTGATAAGCGGTAGAAGCTGCAGGCGGCCTCGTAGACGTCGAACTTCAAGTGACCCCACCTGTACGGTAACATGTTCTTAGCAGTTTCGAATCGTTTTTGGTTCAGCGCCTCCTGGCTGCCGAGCGTCGCCCTAGTCCAATCGTTGTAGTCCTTCACCAACTTCCACTCGGCCTCGGTCTTGCCTGTGCTCTTCCAGCCTTGGAGGACCGTCGTGTCAGTGCTGGAAGAGTTGGTTACGTTGAAGTAGTCCACGTAGAACTCAGCGACAACTCTGGGCAGGTTTTTCACCAGCAGCTTGCACTGCCGAATCGGTGTCGAGATCGCTTGCTGTACTATCGGATGCTTTTTCTTTTTATCTTTCGTCCAGGCCATCTTTGCACCATCGGCTAGAAGAGTCCCCCAATCCAAGAGCTGGTACTCATCAGTGGTCGCGCCCTGCACCACATAGGGAGGATCGCGTTTGCCCTGCTGGATACCATACTTCTCGATGCTGGCGCAGCGGTCCATCGTGCTACCTTGCGTGGAGGGTGGAGTCCGAAGTGCTCAGAGCCACCAGGAGGGAAAGAGGAGTAGGAGGGCGAAGAGGAGAAGGAAAAGGAGGAAGGGGAGTTTGATCAGGACGAGGAGAAGGGAGGCAGGCTGACGGAGGGGGGAGATGAGATGACGGGAGGGAGAGCAAACTAAGGAGTAAAGAAGAGGAGGTAGGACAGAGGGAGGAGGAAGGACGATTGAGCTCTGAGCATCTTCGCATTCGCACCCTCCACGACCTGGATCGCCCCTGTCGTTACAGGGGTGCCGTGTGAGCGCCCACGTCCCCTGCGGCGTGAGGCAAGTGATGGTGTGGTCGGAGCTCTGGACGTAGAGGGAGTCGCACACGCGCTTCATCTCCTCGTGGGTGAAAGCCTTCCCAAACATCATCCACACAGAGCTGTGCTTGCCTGTGTCGTCCATGAAGTCAGGGCACTTCGCCTTGGCGTCTGTTACCAATTTCTCGACGTATTCTGGAGTGAGCGCGGATACGGGCTGCGCTCGGGCCGTGTCCAGAGCAGGATCACCGCTCCCACTCGCCATGCCAATCAGGAGCTCCCACGAGGACGTGCCACGAATGCAGTCGCCAGCAGGACTGTAGAGAGGACGTAGCAAAACAATTGTCACTGCCCAAGGTCTTGAACCACAACGGCTATGGACGAGAGAAGGAGAGGGGGATAAAACAGCGAAGGAGCAGGATGAGAAGCAGCAGCAACTGAGCGCCGCGCTGGAATCCACCCCCTTGCGCCCACAGAGCAAGCAACACTTTGAGCAGCGAGGCTACTCAGATTCAGACTCATTGCTTAATCTGCCCAGCCTCTGCAAATCAACTTGAACCACTCGCTTGGTTGCCCCCAGCGGGCGGGAGGATCTCCATCGCTTGATCGTTTTGCCCCCTGTGAGGAAATCTATTCGAACGATGGCTTCGACAGCAAGACGGCCCTGACACCCGTTTCTGTTTTTCCGCCCAGGGGCCAAAAGCGGCATGAGCTCGCATGGGAATCTCAGAGCCGACGGAGTGCATCGTTCACGACACAAACGTTTCTGATCAAGAGCACGCTCGATAGGAATGTGGTTTTATTTCCCCTCAGAGGGCAAATTCCAGATGCAAGTCTTTCCACTTTTGGACCCTGGGGGGAACTTCCTACCCCTGAGATTGCTCATTTAGGCCTCTGGGGGGAAATGGCTATGCCAGGAGGCTCAATTTAGGCCTCTGGGAGAAAATGGCCCCCCGCGGGATATCATTTAGGCTTCTGGGGGGAAAATCACACCTCATGTGGATGGGATCGCGTTTGTAGCCGGTTTGTCGTTGCTGCTTTTTTTTCGATTTAATATTCGTCGGCGCTGTTTTTTTTTTGTTGTGGTGCATTGCGCATGTTGGTTGTTTCATGCTTATGGTTACGTTTGTTTCGGTTGCCGCATGTGATATGATACTCCACCGCGCGCCGATCACTGCAACGGATGCTGCAACACACCATCGCTTTTGTCATTTCCTCGCAAGTTATTTGGCAGCGTTGCCGCCCAAGGTCGGCCGCGGTCGTGGCACGCAAGGCTGGGCTCACAATAATACCATGCAAGGCAGAGTGAAATGTGCTAGCCGCTACGCGCCATGGCCGCGGGCTCGCCACGACAGCAAGCGCTAGAGAACAGCCGTGCGTTAGCCTGATCGTTCGCTCTCGTGATCCTTCCCCTCATCCTTTCCCCGTCCCCCACCCTCCCTATCTCATCCTCCGCCCGCCTTAGCCCCCGTTACTGATGTGCTTTCTAAGGGGGGTTGGAATCACATGCCCCCGTCCCCCTAAGTGGGGTAGCTGCTTTGCACTACTACCCTCCCCCTCCACCCGCCCCCTTTCAATCACCCCTCCACTTCCTATTCTTACAAGTGCCCATCCTCTCAAACTTTCCACTACTACAGAGATGCACACACAGCGCACCTAAAGCTGGCCGCGTCAGGGATGCGCGCCAGTACGTCTACATCTGGCCTCCAAGAAGATAGCGCCAGCCTGGCACAACCAAGGTGCCAACAGGCCAGACAGGATCTACAATGGTAGAAGCCTTCAGCTGCATCGACAATGACTTTGCCTTTTCCTTTTCGGACTACCTCTTCGCATAGGGCGCACCGAAGCACGGCTGCTGTGCTGTGTAATGGGCCTGGGTACAGTTGGGTCTCTTCGTATTTTTTGAGAAGTAGACACCACGGTGGCACCTCTGTCAGAAACCCTTTTTTGTTGTAGTGGTCGATCGGGAGCCTGCGGACCACGAAACGGGCTCTCGAAAAGTCTTTCGGTGGGCACAAGTACGGCACAAAGCCTTTCAGGCAGCCAGCGTTGTTTACCGAGAGGATCCGTGCCATTGCTTTTTTCACATCTGTCCACATCACATAGTTCACAGCACCGTCTTGCACAACAATAGAAATATCCCTGATAGACAAATCGCCAGCATTGGCACCACTAGTGGCCAACGTTGTAGTTGCATCCGCAAGTAATTGTCGTGCATCTCGCATTTGCCTCCGCACAGGTGCCATTGCTAACGACACGCACTCCGAATCTGGCGGGTCCACAGACGGCATCGGGGCAACAAGATCAACATGAGGGTGATCAAAATCATCTCGGTCAGAATCCTCGTCGCACGGCAGAGGGTCGACATCGCCCCCTGGTTCTTCAAACAATCCATCTTCATCCAAGACTTGGTCAGTCGCATGGCCGACGTGATCAGGATCTGCTTCGGGCTCGTTCTCGTCACCTGAATCGCCCTCGAGACCACGGCCCATCACGGCCTCGAGTTCTCTCACCCAGTACTCCTCTAGGTCAGGATCGAGACCATCTGGTTCGTCATCTGCGATTGGCACTGCAGCTGATCCAGCTTCTGGCGCAGGCCCTGGCGATACCTTCTTTCGCTTGGTCGCACTCGGTTGAGCGTAAAGCTCGACGGACTCCAGCTTCTCAAAGTCCACGGCACCATGGTCCAATCCATTCCACTTGATAGGCACACGATGCAGTTTCATCATCTTCGGTGTTCTCTTCCTTTTCTTTTTGGCCTTCGGGACCTCGTCTGTCGTCAAAGGGCCGCCTGCAGCGCACAATGGAAATAACACCATGACGTCAATCAACCGTTTCATCTCCAGGGGTCGTTTTAGCTTGCAGTGGCCACCGACTGTGATCTTGGCAGCGGCCGTGTATACCATGCAACGGTATGTCCAAACAAGAAGGAAGCAGTCACCACAATATGAAATCCCAGGCCCATCCTGCTGGGAGTCGGATCTACGCAACGCGACGCTATCCTCGCGCGCCCTTTTCATATCTTCCACGCCCCCGCTCGGATTTTTACAAAAACAGCCCCGGCTTGACAAATACATAAGTTGACAGGGACCCGACCGACCAGCACTGCGATCGACCGCAGGCGACGTAGTCGCCCCATGGGGCAAAACACGGGACGGGGGATGCATGAAAGGGGCTCGCGGGGATCACGCGCGTCGCGTCGTCTCCGACTCCCGACCTTGAGAACCCAAGTCCTTGATGAAGACCACGTGCTTGCAGCAGACATCGATCTTCCTGTAGACGTCCATGGAGAACGCTGCTGCTAAGATGGTAGGCTCCGTCTTATCGTGGACACACGCAAAATCACGCTCAGCAGGAAGATCGGGGCCAGCACCTCCAGCCACAGGAACATACCGATTAACATAGAAATATGTTTTCATAAACTCGGAGATCTCATCGTCAAGTGAAGTCGCCACCTCTGCAGTAATCCCATCGCCGTACTTGATGCACAAGCGGGCGTCGGCTGATCCTTTCTTCATTTTTCGGGCTCGGTGAACCATCGCTTGCAGCCAACCGTTGCAGCCCTCGATGTCTTCTGTGTTATCTGGTAAAGACGCTCGCAACATGAGCACAGCAACGTACAAGCTGACATCGCATCGGCCTGTCTGTCTCATATCGTCAAATTCCTGCCGAAAGATTTCACGCATCTTCACTGTGACATCTTCTTCTGCGTTCGCGTTGTGACAACGCGCGTGTTTATCCAATAATTTGGCAGCGATACTTT